TCCCAAAGTTGGGCTTGGGACCCAATTATGGGTCATGAAGCACCTTGGATAATCTCCAGAAATCAATTTAAAGGGTAATAAAATAATTGTTTATGTAATATTTTCCCTATAACTATTACAAAAACACAAAATAAGTATAAATAAGTATTTATATTTGTGTACAAGCTGTTTAGATTGTCAAAAAGCCTGTGTTTTTAGGGTTATTAATGAAGTTCATGTACTCAGACCAGTAATATTTGGGGTCACAAGTTTTTGCCATGGATATTTTGTGGGTCAGAAGATAAAAAGTTTGGGAACCACTGGGTTAGATAATACTAACATGTACCATCTACTGGTCTATGGATGTTTGTTTTTTAGGATTAATGTTTTTTAAATTATTTTTTAGTTTTAACATTAATTAATACTTTTTGTATTCATATCTTGTTGATGCTGCTCTGATCATGTAATATCCTGCAAATGATCAGTAAAGTATGTTTTCCACCATCCATCCATCATCCATCCATCCATCCATCATCCATCCATCATCCATCCATCATCCATCCAAATATGAATGTTTCAACGAACCGGAAGTAACCATGAATATCACAATGCATCGCAATAATTACTGAACATAATCTTAGTATCTCAAGATATTCTTATATTAGTGGGGATAAATATTCAAATTTAAAAGGGATTTTAAATAGTTTTGACTTTGAAATACGACGTTTGTATATATTTTGCGATCCAACGTGAACGCACACGACTTGCTTTTATTTTGAAATCGGCACAGTGAGCATACCGTAATACCTCGTGTATGCGCGCACAGTTGGCCGGAGTTGAATCGCAGTTTGAAGTCATTTTGTTGTTGTCTGCCCAGGTGTGGAACAATTATTCCCCCCATACAGAGCCAGGCTGCAGGCACAGAGGGGATCATGTGAGGAGCAAAGAGGACAGCAGGACCACCGGGACAAACCATGGGGGCAGTTCAGCGGATCTTCACCTCCACATGCTGCGTAGGTTTTATTTTTGACCTGATGCATCTCAGTAATCCAGGTAGAAAAAAAAAAATCAAAAAGAAGGTTGAAGGTTTATTTTTGTTTTGTTTTTCAACAGAAATTAGTTTGGAAAAAAAAGAATGAATAGTAATGAAAAGAGCAATAATAATAATAATTGCTGGTGTTGTAATGTTTTGGTATTTTTGTAGTTAGTTAATGACCAACAGTTTGTCTGGAACCTGCTGTGAGGATCTGGGTCAGGTCTTGAAGGGTCAGCAGGCTGACACATCAGATTAATGAGATTATCCTCAGAAGGACAACAGCAGCTTCTTATACTCTTGACATGTTGTTTACTGCGTGTTGTTTAATATGATAAAATCTTCATAAAGTGCACAAGATCTAAAAACACATTTATTCTAATATATTAAATTCTATGAGTTTACATAAACTAATGCTAAAAACAGTATTCTTAGTGTATTTTTTCTAATATTTCTCTGGATCATATCTGATTCATAGCAAGGTGATGCTGGTTAGTTATATGTTTCATTTGGCTCTAGTCCAAAGTGATGCAGTCTGCAGGAGACTTGTCTGCCAGTCAAAGGTATTAAATGAACTTGTTGATTACCTACAGGTCCTCCTGTCCCCTGACCTGACTCAGCTGTTGATGCAGTGTCATATAATGAACTGGTGTTGACCCAAACCACAACAAGTTGGATAGTTGCATAAAAGGTCAATAAAAACAGATTGTAATGATATTTAAATATCATAAATCCAGATTTTATCCACAGTGGAACAAAGTAAACATAACAACTGTTTAAACTTAGAAATTGTACCTTTTTGTGTGTTTTTAGTTCAACTTTTAACCCTGCCTGCTCAGTGTTTCTGCTCTTCTGCCAATGAGAAAGAAACCAATTCTTTTAAACAGTCTCACAGTATCAGACACAATCCCAACTCTGCAGAAACATGTCCTCTAACAGCATCAGAGCCACTTCAGGAATACCTTTCTGTTGTCTTCATAAAATGATAAAAATGTTTGAGGTAAGATCACAATGTACTCTTGTGACATTTAACCATAAACATTTATTAAAGATGTTATTAATAATGAAAAGTTAACATTCAGCTGAACAGTCGTGTTTTTCCTTCAGCACCCTGCCTTAAAAGACAAACTGAAAAATATGAAGTTTTTTTTATTGTTTCAAAATGTTCATGTAGGATGAACATGACTGTGTAATAAGAGCAGATTACTCACTCTGAGCTGTGTTGTGTATTTGTTGTAAACAAGACAAACTAAAACTGTCAGAGGTTTAGGCACACACAAATTCAAATCTAAAGATAATGCTGAAAACTACAAAGAGTTGGTTTGCAGCACATTCTGCTTCTATCCAGTGCTCATGGTTTGAATTGGTCCCTCAGATGGGCACTGGTGCTGCCTGTCAGACCAGCAGGAAGTCCACGGTGACCCGGATCGTCTACTCCTCCATCCTGCTGCTCGGCACCGTGGTCGCCTGCATCATGCTGTCCCCAGGTGTGGAGCAGCAACTGAAGAGGGTAAGAATGAACCTTAAAAACATGAGAAAGTCATTATTTGTGTTTAAAGTTTCACTCATAACAGGAGAGTTCCTTGTAAGAGTACATCTGACTCATCTTTAATCAAGCTTTAAAATAAGATCATATTATACTAAGAAATGATCATCTCTACACAGTTTGAGTCCAACAGTTCAGTCAGTTGTAGAGTTTTGTTCATATTAGTATAATGGTTTCTGAGACACTGAGTCAGAATCAGGTTGGTGAAAGAGGATCTTAAAGGAGCAACATCATGTAAAATCAACTTTTTTCAGTTTTATATCATGATATAGTGTTATACGCTCATGCTTTGACTCATTTATGCATGTTTGAGAAATCCTGCAGCGTTGTTAGGCAGACGTGCTGATTCAACTCTTGGCAGTAACAAAGCAAACTGAAAGTGAAACTTAACTGTCTGTTGCTCTTAACATTACTTCTCACTCAGTGAAATGCTTTTCAGATTCAAAATACCTTTGAGGAAATGTATTTTCACTTGACAAGTAAACTGCATCATAGCGTACGTGTGACCCCCACCCCCCCACACACACACACACATAGACACACACCCCGAAAGCAGAAGGAGGTTCTTAAAGAGACAGAGGCCAATTTCAAGGCGTTTAGAAGAGGAAGTGATGAGAAGATAAGTTTATTTTCTATTTAAACATAAAAACAGCATTTTAATAACAGCTAAAGGTGACATATATACTTTTTTATGGTATAGTATTTTAAATATTTGCCTGAGAAACACATAATAACATCAAAATCAGATTTATACTCTGGTATAAACATGCTGTTTGAAATGAATCTAGAGTAAAATTAGGTTTGTTAGGTTAAGCTAATCTCCTCATCCTCCTGGCCTTTAAAGATTTAAAGACTTTCTGTGGTTTCTTGTAGATCCCAGGTTTTTGTGAGGATGGGGCCGACTCCTCTATTCCAGGCCTTCTGAACTGTGAACTGTTTGTGGGCTACAAAGCTGTGTACCGCTTCTGCTTTGGCATGAGTATGTGGTTCCTGTTGTTCTCCATCCTATTCATTAACATCAAGACCAACAAAGACCCCCGAGCTTCCATCCACAACAGGTAAAGACTGCAGTCAAGCCAGAAACACCTGGGGTCAGATTTATAAAACTGGCGTACGCACAATTTGAGCCCAGAAACTTGCGTACGCCACTTTTTATGCCAAGGTTGTAATTTATAAAATCCTAACTTGACGTGAAAATGTGCGGTGCCTCACGCCAGCTCTGACCCATGTGTACGCTCATTTTGGAGACGGGAAACTGCGACACAGATGGTGAAGTGAAGAATTAGAGCCACACTGTGTAATGATCACTGTCAGATATTTAATTTACCTTCAGAATCAGACTTAGATTTTTAACAGATAACAGAGCAGGCAGGAGGGGGAG